TAATTAATAACTCGCATAATTCATCCAAAATCAATAGGCTTCTGGTACGACATATGTTGAATGCACATGCAAAATCTGGAGCAGATCCAATTTCGCTTTCGTGAGATATCGCGTGCATCTAACCGACAAACAAACAGACAGACAAATACCTATCAACATACTTACCGATTAAAATCGATAAGTAATAACCTGAAAATAAAATAGAAACGGGATGTCTGCGGGACGCGACGGGATTTCAATAACAAATATAACTTAACAGAACAAGAATTGAATATATAAAGAAATAAAATCCAGCAAACATCGAGGCAATCAAAGCAATCCAACCTACTATGAGAATGCAATCAAACTAAATGCAAATGGACGATTTAATAGCGAGCAGAGCGGACAGAATGGAGATGATATTGCGAAAACGACCTCTACTTCAGACAAGCTCCCAATATGTCTAACTGAGTCAGAAATTATCAGCGAGGGAAATTGGCTTCAGTCCCACTCTCGGAAGATTCGATAACTTCCCTTAGGCACACAAACGTTACATGATAAACTAAATAAAGGAAGCAATTATTAAGAATTGAATATACAAAATACCACGCACAATTGAAACAACTAATACGATGGAAACAAGGGGGCTCCAAGGACCGGATCAAAGCTAGATCACAATGATGAAAGCTCAAATGATGAGGGTATGCCCACTTAAAATCCTTCGTTTACTCGTTGCGTGTAGAGGCATAACGTCATTATTTTGATACGAACGTTCGAAATAATACATTGCTAAGGACGTAAAGCCTGTTCTGGTAATCGTCGAAGATTAAGAAAAACACAAAGAAAACCTCATCGTTCAAGATTTTATACTAGTTAGTTTCTGAAATCACGACGGTCAGAATAATGCCCTACCAAGACATATAGACTTGGGCAGTCTACCCACTCTAGCAGTTAGGAATTGGTGTGTATTTCCATAGTCATATAATATATTAAATTGTATCATATATTTGTTTCTCGATAAGAGAGAAAGTCGTAACGACAGTTTATTAGTGCTTCCTTGCATAGTATTACATGTAAACACTTCAATCAACCCGCTCATGCGTCGCGCTCTTCAGGCGCGTTGTTCTAATTGTATTCATTTCATTCTTAGTTGCCTTTAGAGTCTGTTGTTGCTTGCGTCCCATATTATTTGTATCAAAAAACTTGTGTGTTGTATTCGGAGTGAAGGACTGTGGCATAATCCAATAATATAAGTCCGTACTGGCGCTAAGCACTCAAAACTTTGGTGCCCTATATATAAATAATAATAATAGGAATGTAACTAGTGTTCCGTTTTTAGAAATATTTCTCGCAAATACAAAAATGAGTAGAAAAAGAAGATGATACTTGAGAAAGAAAAATAATCAAAATTTATTTCAACTGGGCCAATATTGAGGTCTGAGTCGTCAGGCCATTTTTTGGTATTTCATTAAACACTGAGGTATTATTAAAAATTCGACTATGAAAATTTCCATGAGATCGCCTTTTCGTTGTTACCCTAAGCATGTGCTTATTTTATTCAGTGGTTAATTCAGCCCTAATTCCAACATCCTTGCTTCATTATAAGCCTATAAATCTGTCAGCACAATAGAGCGAGACTAAAAAGAGTTAGTCTTGCCGTTGTAAACCAGTCTAATACCTTCAGTGAAATCGAATGTTAATTAATAGTATTGGAGTTACAGCAAATGCTGTTTAAACATTTACCGACTGACGCTTTTAACAATATTGAAATTACGGACAAATGGTATTCAAACGTTTAACGAATGACAATTTTCAACAGCATTGAAGTTACAATGAAATGCTATTTAAGCGTTCATTCACTGGTGAGCTTTTTAACAGCATTGAAGTTACGGTAAAATGCCATTTCAACGTCCAATGACCGACGCTTTTTCAACAATATTGAAGTTAAGGTGAAATACTATGTAAGCGTTAACGTCGGACGCCTTTTAATAGTATTGAAGGTACGATGAAATGATATTAACTAATCCATTTTCTAGAGACAGGAAAATTATTTCTTCGGTGAAAATATTTATTTTGTCCTACTATATGAAAAAAATTAAAAAATGTTTTTTTTCGATAATTTATACCTCCTCCCCAAATTGTAGCAGATCCGCTACATTGGTTAATGGCGGTAAAATATGATATCGATAGAAATTCGTAGAAACGACTGAAAAAATATGTCATATTCAAAAATTAAATTTTTTTTTTGGTAAATTTTAACATTTTGGGAAAGAAATCAAAATAGCGATTAATTAAAGTTTGGGATATTACATGATTTTGAGGCATAAGGGGTATATTTAGAATATTTAAAATTGAAACCAAACTTTTCACTATATTGTTGTAGCAAATTATCAAGTTCTTAAATGCTAGCAGTTCACCGACCACAATTGAAAAACTAAAAATAAACTATATCAACAACAAAGAAACATATCATTCAAATAACTTTAAAACAATAAACTTGAAGTCAAAGTAAAACAAAATGTGGAATCGCCGAGGCTTGTTATGGAATGCCACAAAGCAATTGCGTGATTTGTTCAAACACAAATGTGCTTTGCCCTTCAAGCATTTTACGAAGGATAAACAAGATTTTACGGCAACGTTGTCTGTTCATTTCATGGTTTGGAAGGTGACAAAAGCCATCAAACTTGAAGGCTGATACTGATGTGGGACTTGTTTGATGTACCTTTTTTTCAGAGCCCAATGATGGTCTTCCCACACGCTTTCTAACCTTACAAAGGGATGATGCAATCATAGCTTGAAAATGTCCTAAATGCATACACTTGTTTTTTCCAATACATTGCCATACAGTCCCTCTTGTATGAAAATCATATATTGAACAAAGCTATGGTTAGGGTGTGATAAAAAAAATACATGTAATATCTCATGCTTTTCAGCTGGTATTTATACAGAGAGCATATCATGTCCATGAGGTCAACACAGCCCATTGACTTGTTATATTCACCAATGACCCAAGGTCTTGGTACTAAAACATACTCTTTTCTTAACCGGTCGTACCTTCTAACATCTTCAAGCTCATCAGGACCATTATACGAAGAAATCACTGTTACACACTTGTTATCATACCATCTAACTAGTGATAGATTCTGGGTAGTTTCCACAACAAATGCACCTCTTCCCTCGGTCTTCAGTTGTTTCTCAGATTTGAGAGGGGCACCATAAAGAACATTTGTCCGCATTGTTCCTACATAGAACATGTTCCGTTGTCTAAGTTCATGAGCCATAGCAAAACCTGAAAAAAAAGTGTCTGCAAAGATTTTGAAGTTGTGTTTACTCGGCATTGAAGAACACAGCATTTCCACAAAGGCCACAATGAGAATTACCATTGTTTTCATTTGGGTCTGAACCTTTGCCCTGATATATATCGAAAGGAAATAAGTAACCACTTGAGGAGCACCTAGCCCATAGCTTAAAACCCCATTTTTGGTCTGTGCGACTAGAATCCACAAATGCTTTAAGCATTTGCTGCAAGGTCTTATTCATTCTTTCACATAGACCATCCGACCTAGGATGATAACGAGTCGTACGAGTTTTATCAATTTCAAATAAGGAACACATATGCTTAAACAAATGAGATTCAAAATTAACCCCTTGGTCACAATGAATAATTCGTGGAGTACCAAATCTACTATAAAATTCCGTTACAAGTACATCGGCTGTAGTACTGGCCTTTTGATTAGGCAAAGGATAAGCCTCAACCCATTTAGTAAAATAGTCTGTGACTACTAACAAATGTTCATTGCCCCGTTCAGTTTTAGGTAAAGGACCCACAAAATCAAGACTAATTCTGAGAAGTGGCTCAGTACAAATCATTTTACACAATTCTGCACGTCGTTTCCCATGAGGGCTTTTGGTAGCAGTTAAAGTTTTACAATAACGACACCAAGAAGATACTTGACTGTGCATTCTAGGCCAATAAAATCGTTCCCTCAATTTTTTATAAGTTCGTTCTTTACCCAAATGTCCACCAGTACGCAACTCATGGAGTTGTCGGTACATTTCGCGACGCAAAACTAAAGGCAACACAATTTGAAAAATGGATTTCCCTACAGGCGCGGATGGCAAAAACTGGCGATGAAGCACTCCATCGATGACTCTCAATAATTTCCACTGGCTGCACAGGATTCGAACTTCTCTGGAGAAAAACAAGAGTTCTGCAGCTGGAGGTGGTTGATCCAACGTTTCCTTCATTGTCAGTACTTTAGAGATGTTATCGTCCTTCATCTGCATCTCACGCATATCGGTCGATGAATACGAAGCGAGTCATTCCATAGATTTACCATGACTCGGTTGCAAAGCAGCAACTTTGACAGTTTTCAATTCACACGGCTGATCACCATTCCCACAACTAGTGCAGGAATCACGCTTACATCGGCGACGAATACGACTCAAACCATCAGCATTGCCATGCTTGTAACCAGCACGATGTTCAACTGTAAAATCGTAAGTGGCCAGAACTGATATCCAACGAGCTACCATACCTTCCGGATCTTTAAAATTCAGAAGCCAACGTAGTGAAGCATGGTCAGTTCTCAGTTTGAAATGTCGACCCCACAGAAAATGACGAAAATGTTTGACCCCCCACTGCAACGCAAAAAGTTCTCGATACGTTGCACAATATCTCCTCTGCGCCTTGTTAAGGGTAACGCTGGCATATGCAATGACTTTTTCCTCGCCATTCTGAATTTGACTTAAAAATGCGCCAGCTCCAAAACCAGAACAATCAGTATCTCAGTGTTTTTCAACCTTTTTCGAGCCACGGCACCCTTTTTCGATTGAGAAAATCCCGCGGCACACCAACATCTGAAAATGTGGCAAAAAGACCTAATATTCACAATATGCTATATTGTTCATGAGTTTTTTTAAACATTGAAGAAAGATGTCGAATTGGACATTTCCAATATTAAACAAATAAAAACAAGGATAAAACGTATTTCACAATCGTTCATATTTATTATTCTCACTCAGTGTGAAACCTGGGGCTGTTTGGATGAAGACAGAGCAGATATCCTGGCAGGAATCGATGAAAGGCGATGAACACGAAGCTCTTCATCAACAGCTCTAAGTCTTTCTCTGTTTTTAGTTTTTATAGCAGTCAGGCTTGAAAAGCTCACCTCACACAGATATGTTGTGGAAAATGGGAGCAATGTCAAAATAGCTTTGTGGGCCAGCATGGGGAACTCCTTGGCAGCTGCCAACCGGAAACTGTCCAAAGGTAGATCAGCAAAGCTTAGCTTGAGACAACGATCTTGTTTCAGTTCAGTTAGTTCCTCCTGCTCCTGCAAAGTCATGTCCATTCCAAAAGCTAATGCTGAGCTGAATGGATCCCTAACCCAGTCAAGGTACTCTGTGGTGACTGAAGAGAAATAAAATGATATCTTCTGCTCAAGGATTTTCAAATGTTTAACTATTATCTCACACAGTGCAGCAGTATTAACACCTTGACATTTATTGGTGAGTGGGAACATTTCAAGATTGCCATTTCCCACATGTCGCTGCCAGAGTTGCACCTTGGAACGGAATCCATTTATTTTATCTGTGCTTGTAAGTAGGTTTTCATTTCGGCCTTGCATTCGTGTGTTCAGTTCATTCAGATAATAAAAAATATCTGCCAGGTATGCCAGTCTTGCACAACACTCTTCACTTGCAAGCAGCTTCGTGTACTCGCACCCCTCGTTCGTCAGAAACACTTTAAGTTCCTCTCGTAGCTCATACACACGGGTCAGCACCTTGCCGCGCGACAACCATCGGACCTCCGTATGAAACAGCAAGGCTTTATGCTCCGCTCCCATTTCTTCACACAAAGCCGCAAATATGCGAGTTTTCAGAGGTCGTGACTTTACAAAGTTTACCATACGCACAACATCATCCATCACAGGAAACGAGGTCTGCCGGTAAAGTCTTGCCTACGAGGGCTTCGCGGTGTAAAAAACAGTGAGTTATGATCACATCTGGGTTTTTCTCCTTCACTCTGCTTACAAAACCTTTGGTGCGCCCAACCATGGCTGCAGCTCCATCAGTGCAGACACTCGTGCAGTTTTCCCACGTAAGTCTTCCTTTTTCTAGATATTCTGATGCAACGCGAAAAATTTCCTCTCCCGTTGTTTTTTCTGGCAAAGCCTTGCAAAATAGAAAGTTCTCTCTGATTGTGTCTCCATCCACAAACCTCACATTAGCCAAGAGTTGAGCATGCCCACTAATATCAGTAGACTCATCAAGTTGCAAAGCAAATTTATTACCGATACGGATCTTGTCCAAAACAACACTTTCTATGTCTGCAGACATCTCATTGATGCGTCTGGAAATTGTGTTATCCGAAAGAGGGACTCTGGCTATTTCTTTGGTCGCTTCTGGCCCGAGCATTTCAGTTACAATGACTTTGCAGGCGGGAAGTATTAATTGCTCTGCCACAGTGTGGGACTTTTTTGATTTAGCCACAAGTTCAGCTACGTGATAGCTAGCTTTAAGGGCTTTCGCGTTTACCTTTGCGGTTTTTCTCATGAAAGTGGCCTGTTTCTTTGTCTGATCACGCAGGCGAACAAAATAATCCACATTTTTGTTTTGAAGTAAAGGGTGTTTAGTTTCAAGATGTCGTTTGAGCTTGCTTGGAACCATAGCACCGTTGGAGAGCGTTTCACCACATACCAAGCACAATGGAGTCGGTGCCGTTGCATCTCCGGTACAAGTAAATCCAAATGAAAGATAGTTTTCGTTGTATTGTCTTGTCTTTGCTTTCTTTTCACCTCCACTCATACTAGGGCCCGGATTTTGTCCAGGGTCCAGTACAATATCCGCATTTTTTCTTTTCAAAAATTTCTCCATCACAAATGCAAAGCGCAGCCAGGAAGAGCGGGAATGACCTTGAGGCTGAGTCGGTCGAATGCGGCTCGTATCACGTGACATCTGTATGACGTCACAATTACCTGCCGCTGCATCCATGCTTGCAAATCGCCACCTTTTGATATGGAACAGTACTACATGATTATTCTACCGGGCACAACACCTCATATATATACACACAAATTGGAGAATTTCCCACGGCACCCCTGACAACATTCTACGGCACACCGGTGTGCCGCGGCACCCCGGTTGAAAAACACTGCAGTATCTAATATGAATTCGTCTCCATCTTCCTGTGGAAATGATAAAACAGGAGCACGAACTAAAAGTTCTTTCAAGCGAAGAAAAGCGATATCACACAGCTTTGTCCATGCAGATTCTACTTTCTTCTTCGTCAGATGAACAAGAGGATGTGCAATGGTAGAAAAATTTTCAACAAATTGTCTGTAATAATTACAAAATCCAAGAAATGACTGCAATTTTTTGACATTAGCAGGCTTGGGCCAATCATGAACAGCAGCAATTTTTCCATCGCCACAGCTTACACCATATTCAGATATTACATGTCCCAAATATTTCACTTTACGACGAAAAAGTTTACACTTCTCTGGCTTGAATTTCAGTCCAGCAGCACGAATTCGTATAAAAACTTCACGTAAACTGCTCATGGCCAGATCAAAGTTTTCTCCATAGGACAAAATATCATCCAAGAATGCAAGACAAATTTTCCATAGAATTCCAGTCAAAACTTTGTCTATTAAACGCTGGAAGCAAGATGGCGCATTGGCCAGACCGAAGGCAAGAACACGAAATTGAAAATGATTATTTCCTGGCAAGCTGAATGCTGTTTTTTCCCGATCTTCTGGGTCGAGTTCTACTTGCCAGTACCCACTCGCCAAGTCCAACGATGAAAACCACTTTGCTTTACCCAATGCATCCAAAATATCATCAAATCTTGGCAAACTGTAGGCATTTTTGATGGTTACCAGATTAATTTTCCGAAATCGATAAAAAAACGACAACTTCCGTCTTTCTTGGGAACGAGAACAATAGGCAAATTATAGGGGCTTTCACTCGGTTCTATTACACCTTGAACAAGCATGCTCTGCACTTGTTTCTCTGCGATTTCTCTTTTCGCCCATCCCATACGTCGTGGTGGAACTTTGATTGGTTCAGATGTTGACGTTTTAATCATATGTTTGACTACAGAAGTTCGTCCCAGTTTGCCATCAGGACCAGCAAAAACATCCTGAAATTCAACTAGTAAATCATGAACACTTTGACGATGTTCCACCGTTAAATCTTCTGGATCGTCGACGAGCTTCTTTAAATGTTCAGGTAGTTCCCTGGTGTCCATGACATCACCAGGCACCACTTGTTCCTGAGAAGAGACAGTCAGGTTTTCTCTTGGGCATAGTAAACCGATAAGCAAATCCGCAGGTATTTCTACCGCTTCCTTGCTAACATTGACCACCATGAGAGGCACTAAAGAGCATGAGGCGTCCACCACTCCGGGAAAGAAAAAAAAACACGATGGCCATACTCGTTCTCAAACACACACGCAGCTTCTGCCACAGCTATGACGTCACTATTGAGTGTCCACGGACAATTCAAACGACCATAAATCACAATCTCACTCTCTCTGGCAACAGTCACACATTTATCTACAACAATTCTACAACTAGAAACAGACGAAACAGGCTTAGTCAGAGAAACAGTTTTACCATCAACCTCCATTTGGCCTACAGACATATGCAAAACACAGTCATGCTCTTGGAAATAATCCATACCAAGCAAACCATAGGGGGCACCAAGATCAGCAATAATCACTCTCTGAACAGCACACACAGAATCAATATAATACAAGTCAACACAAGTCAACCATACCACGAGCTTTCAGATAAGTACCATTAGCAGTTTGAAAACAAACATCACAAGGAGACAAATCACACTCCTTCCCACCAATAGAACAAAAAACTGCATAATCTATAAGCGTAGCAGCACTACCAGAATCAATAAGAAAACGTACAGTAATGCCATTCACATCAACCATAGCATACCAGCTAGTGGATAATCTCAAAGAACAAATCAAATTATCAAAATCATGGTCTATGCTTACATTCGTCATCTTTCCAGTAGCAACTGAGGTCCCCCGTGCTACTGATTTCTGTATAAAGGCATATCATTATTCTTGGGAGCAGGGTGAAACTGGGGAATATTACCACCATCACGAGGAGTTTGGCCATTCCCACCCCAGGCAGAATTGGAGCTATTCCCTGGTGAAAAATTTCCTACAGGGCCACTGGCCGTTTGCTGGGCCGAATAAGCAGAAGGATGCGAATTCTGTGGAACATAATATCGAACACCCAGCTGTGTGACCTCTGCCATGACATCTCTGGCACTGGTTCTCAGAGCAATTCCTACGTATGTGACCCTTGGCACCACAGCCATAACAAGTAATCCTTCATTCCTACGCCCACCCTTCTGACGGGAAAATCGGGGTTGAGGAGCTTTGTCAAACATAGCACGAAAACGAAATCTGTTTAATATCATTCCGCAGCTTACTAAATTCAGATTCACACACACCATCATCACGCTCAGAATTATTTACAACAGCTACCATGGGCTTACTAGCACGATTAAAACCAGGTGCACTGTGCATAGCAACAATAGAATGACATACATCAGCCACAGTAATTAATTCATTCAAACTCTGAGTCTGCCTGATGGTCAAAGTCTTACACATCTCAAAATCAGGGAAACCTGAAATGAAACGCTGCTTAATCAGATTTTCACGAGCAATAACATACAAAGAAGGATAAGCCTTCCTTGACAATGCGCGGGGGAAAGTAGCATATTCCGTTGGTGTCTCAGTGGCCAACTTCTTCCTGTTATTAAACAGAGTAGCAAAGTATGACTCCTTACCCTCTGGATAATAACGCTTTTCCAAGTGACTCACTGCAACACTCAAACTGTGTCTATCGGGAAAAGATAATTCATTCAACAAGGACAAAGCCTTCCCACGCATACATGCAGCAAAATGTACACCAGCAATTTGATCAGTCCATCCATTACAGGTAGTAATAGATGAAAAATGACACAAATATTCATCCAAAGACATACCATCACCATTAAAAGTATCAGGCCGTCCATACTCATACTAATATTCATACCAAAAGGAACTGCCTTGTAATCAGTAACATTACCATTCATACTTGCATGCATAGGTGTAGACTGGCCAACCACACACTCATCAGCAAAATTCAATTTTTCAATAGTACCGGTACCATTTATCAAACATTCATTATCAGTCAGGTTCACCATTCCTATCAACACTCTTGGGCACCTCAGGGGTTTTCAGAATAGGTTTAGGAATGAATTATGGCACCTCACCCTGAGCCATGGCCTCGTCAATGCTCTCCAGACGGCATACAACCCGTTCGAGTACTTCCTTCATGCCAAAATCTCTTTCTTCAAGTTGTATAACACTCTTGGCTTGACTACTTTCAGTTGAGACAAAGCATCTTGCAGTTGTCTAGCCAGTTCTTTATTTTCAGCTTCCAGTGATTTATTCTTTTCTTCAATTTCTTTGTTTTTGGTTTCCATCTGGGCAATTTTATCCCATATTACATTTCGTTCCTGGTCGCAATTCTTTCTTCGGTGTGACATCATGAACTTTTAATTAAAAAATCGTCTGATTTTTCAATTCTGGCGCTTGCTCGTCAATTTGCAACGGTACGACTTAACCGGAATACCGGTAGGTGCTCGCCACTAATACAGTCTAGTAATACTGTAATAATTAGTTCAGAGGATCCAATGTGCTGCAAAGACACACAAGTAGGTTCGAAGTTCACGATGCAAACGAAGAGACTTTATTGAAATAGTGTAAAATCCACGCTTAAAGCAGATAAAATAAGAGCGACAAAATACGGTCCTTACTCAGCGACAGCAA